GTATTAGATTAATAATATTGATAGTCTGTGATTTTGATAATGTAGACATTTGTCAGCGAGAGCAATGCATCTGGTCTTAAAACACAAAAAAGTCAATTGTAATTGTATTTGGATGAGCCTAGGGTTGACATAGAAACAAAACTCCTTGTTCTTGATTATTGGAGAACTCATCAGTATCGTTATCCGGAACTTGCTATTATGGCTCGTGGTGTGTTAACTATTCAAATTTCTACAGTTGCTTCAGAATCAGTTTTTAGTATTGCTGGTCGAGTTCTTGACCAATACCGTAGTGCTTTGAAGCCTCATGTTGTGGAGGCTTTGATGTGCACTAGGGATTGGTTATATGCAGAAAAAGGTAATAAATATAATTTGTGATGACTACGATATTTAATTATTTTTACAAATATTGAATTCTTGTTTATATGCTTTCCTTATTGTTATTTAGAAAATTCACAAGTGCAATTGGAAGAGCTAGTAGAAGATGTAATGAATCCGACTTTGAACAAAAATGAGGATGCATCGGTGCAATGTTCAAATGTGATTGTGGATCTTGATTGTTGATGTGTGTGAGTCATAAAACCTAACTCTTTTTCTCAATCTTATGCGTTTATTTTTATTTTTTGTCACAACAACCATTCCATATTTATTGAAGTTAAAAGCTTAGTATGTTTCTTGGCAGGATGTTGGCCAGATTTAGGAGATAAAGAAGATTTGATGAAGAGGATTTCATTTTAACGTGAGAGTTCTGTTGTGAATGTAATGGCCGTAATGACCAGCTTAGTATGATTTTTGACAAGATGTTTGTAATATTACTTTGGGATATTTGTAAAATTTTTTGAATATTTGTAATGTTGTGGATGTATTTGTTTTGAGATATTTGTGATATTTTTAATGCCTTTGTTTTATGTAAAACAGGTCTAATTTTTTTTTTTTGGTATATCATGTCGGGTTGAGTCTTGTTAGGCGGGTTTGAGACGAGTTTACACGAACACGACCGATGTAAATCTCGTGTCACAGATCGTGTTGGGTTAGTCGTGTTTTGAGGCAGGTCGTGTTCGTGTCTAAATTATCTAACCCGTTTAACTCACAGGTCGTGTTTGGGTTGATGTGTTCTCAACCCATTCAAAACATGACACGACCCGGACGCGACACAACACGACACGATTATCACCCCTAACTTATTACATAGGGATAGGGTGGATTGAAAATATAGTGGTTGAGTTTATAATTATATTGTGGTAGTATAAGTGATAAATTCGTAAGTCTTATAAATGAGCAAGATTTTATTTATTGCTTAAAGATTATAAATTTCAATGAGTTACATTATTGTTTTTTTTCAGAGCATTTGTATATATGGTGTTGTTTTAGGAAATTTTTATATATTTTTATTATAGTTCCATTAATATGGAGGATATGATCGATGATATATTACGAGTCATTTTAAAAGAACAATTGGTGTGAATTTTTTTAGGTCATTCCTTTTGAATTTGGGCAATTGTTTAAGATTTTTTTGCTTGTTGTGTAATGCGTTCAAACATGAACAATAACTAATGTTATTATGTCGTGGGTGCTGCTTATAAATAAACTAGTTATTACCTATGCCTGAAGGCACGGAGTAATAAAATAAATTGTCACTCATAAAGGTATTTGTATTCACACCCAAAATCAAATCACAAACATATTGGAGAGACGATGATGGTTGTGGTGGGTGGTAACGACCATGGTGGTGGTGACAGTCGTGAGTGACAACGGTGATGAATTTTGGATGACGATGGTGATAGTGACAACCATGGATGACAACAATTGTGATGGTGGGTGTTGGTGGCAATGGGTGACGGTGATGGTGGTTGAGAGTGGTAGTGGTTGGGCGACGACAGTGATGGACGACAAAGGTTGCTTGTGGGCGACGGTGGTGATGGGTGATAATAGGTGACGAAGGTGGTAGGTGATGACAGGTGATGGTGGTGGTGGTTATGGTAGGGTTAGGTGATTGTGGGTAAACCATAATGATGGGTGACGATGGGTGGTGGTGGGTTGTGGTAATGGGTGGAGGTGGACAACGATGGTAGTAGTGGGTGACGGTGGTAGTAAGATAATGGTGATAGTGATAATAAATATAAAAATGAGATAATGATGGTGGTAGGCGACAGTGGTAACAATCAATGGTGGGTGACGACGGTGATGATGGGTAATGACAGCAGTGGTAGGTGACGACAGTGATGATGGGTAGTGGCAACGGTGGTGGTAGTAGTTGTGGTAGAAGCGGTGATGGGGCGACAACAGTGGTGATGGTGGTAATGGTGAGATAGTGGGGGTAATGGTGGGGTAACGACATCAGTGGTGGTGGCGGCGACGACGACGACGACAGTTGTGGGGGTGACAGCGGTGGTGGTGGTGATGTTGGTGTTGGTTGTGGCAGAGATAGTGGTAGAGTGGCGGTGGTGATGATGATGGTGGTGGGGGTGGCGGTGGTAGTGGTGGGGCAATTGCAAACATTACTTTTTTTAAAAAAAAAATATTTATGAGAAATTATAAGTTCTAAAAACACTTTTAAAAAACTACCCGAAATACACCCTTATGAAGCTTATTTTTTCTATTAAATTTGGAGAGTTAATATTAGTCGTCGGATTAAATTTAAAATAAAATTTAGAATGATCTCAATCACAAAAAATAAAAGTCATTTTGTTTATCTTTTAGGATTTGAATTGTCTTATATTTTATTATATAGATATTCTTGTTTTCTTTTGATAAGTCTACTAAAATAAAAAGTTTATTGTTAGAATATCTTTAGTGCAATGTTAATCCAAATCCTTTGATGGCTTTTTTTATTTTTTACTTTTTTCAACGGTACTGATTTTTTCTCAATAGCCATGAGATGATCATCTTAGGGCAATATTATTGTTGAAGGATGCTCCTATTACACTCATAGTCTCTGAATGATAAGATTCAACTATGTAGCATCTACATCGAGAATTCAAGTATTGTATATGTCATTAGTTTGATCCTTTGTAGGAACTACCCGTAATAACGAACTTACAAAATGGATTTGTTTATCATAAAGAGATTCATTGTTCTTGGCTCTACTTTACCTTAATTGTTATTTGAACAAGTAAAAGTTCTGACTTAGTTTGAGTGGAGATAAATATTTCTCTTTTGCATATCCAAACATCTTAGAGATAGAGAGAAATATCTTAGAGATAGATAGAGAGCAATATCTCAGAGATAGATAGAGAGGTAGGAATTTATCGAACAAACTGCACTCTTAACGTATATGTCCAATATTGAGAGAAAAGGTAGCTTTTTTCGTATATTTCTTGGAATCTGTAGCTTTGCCAATCTTTCCTGATATTGAATAAGATTGCTAATCGATCATATTGTTTCAGGGGTGTCTAGGTTAGCTTACGAACACTTTAACTAATTTTCTCTTCGGTCCGATTGAAGACAAACCATCCACACTTGGATCAAGATATTCATGATGGATAAATCTCTCATGACCTACTCTTAAAGAATTGTCAAGATTCGAATTTAGAATGTCTGAATTTACAACTTATCCATGTTATACCACTTGAGTTACATTGTAGTTCACTTGTTTTCTTTTTTTAGCAAAGAACAAGAACTCGGTGAAGATGAATTACACTCTAACATAATACGACCATATCTATATAATAAAATAGTTTACAATTCAAATTTCAGAAGATAAACAAAATGAATTTTACTTTTTGCGGTTCAGATCGTTTTAAATTTTATTTTAAAGTTAATCTAACAGCTAATATTAACACCCTAAATTTAATAAAAAAAATATGTCTCTAAGGATGTGTTTGGAGTGATATTTTAAAAGTACTTCTACGAATTTTTTTTTATAAGTACTTTTAAAAAAAATAGTGTCTAAAACTGTCCTACCACTACCTCTGCCATCACCACCGTCACCACCATTGCCACTACCACCATTGCCGCCACCATCACTGTCGCTGTCGCCCCCGCCGTCGTCACCGTTGTCGTCATTGCCACCACAACCACAACGATGACGACCACCACCACTGCCACCACCCCCATCGCCACCACCAACCATCACCGCCACCACCACCACTACCGCCGTCGCCATCGCTATCGCCATCACCATCGCCGCCACCACCATCACCATCTCCACCTCCATCATTGCCACCGCCACCACCATCGTCGCCATTATTGCGGCAACCGCCACCGTCGCCATCGCCACCGCCACCACCATCACTGTCGTTGTCGTCACCACCACCACCACCATCGCCACTGCCACCGCCACCCCCCACCACCACTGCCGCCACTGCCACTACCACCACCAATGCCGTCGCTACCACTACCATTACCGACCCCGCCACCACCACTGCCGCCACTGCCACTACCACCACCAATGTCGTCGCTACCACTACCATTACCGACCCCGCCACCACCACCACCACTGCCACCACGGTTATTGCCACCCACCACAACCGTCACCGTCTCTTACCACCACCACTACCACTACCGACGCTGCTGTCACCACCATCACCGCCACCGCCACCGCCACCACCACCACCACCACTATTACCACGATCATTGTCATCCACCACAATTATCACCGTCTCCTACCACCACCACTGTCGTCCACCACTTCTCACCCCCACTACAACCATTACTTAGATTCATTTATCTCTCCTCTGTGTTTGTGATTTGATTTTAGATATGAATATAAATATAAATATATTTTTTATTTTTTATTACTCTATGCCTTCAAACGCAGCCAATAACCAATACTTTTACAAAATAACATGAAATATGAATCAATCATATTTTGAGATAATACAATCCCCTTCCTCATTTGTACAATCCCACTTTTTGCACTTTATATTATTCTTGGATCAGAATCTTCGGCCCCAATTAGTGGCCCATCGCTACAGAGGCCTACGATAGACTCGCGTATAGCGTATAATTATCTTAAAAAAGTATACCAGATTCCCATAGGCCATAGCTAATAGTGGATCCAACACGGACACATTTTTATCAACGATCGTCATGCGCCTTCCCAAAGTCTACCACCGTTTTTCTCTCCTCTCTCTCTATCCTCCCTCTTCCCCTCTAATATTTTATCACTTCCCCAATCCTGTCTCTTCTACTTCTACTTCTACTTCAACCGCAACTGCCTCCTTTCTCTCTGTAAAATCTACTCCATCAAGTTCTCTACCGATCCACAAGCACTCCAGAAACAAGTTTTTCAAGCCTACCAAAACCATGACCTCTTCAAGATTTCACAATCTAGTGCCTATCAGTGCTGTTGTCGCTGAAGACGGTGGCGGTGGCTCCAACGGTGCGGTTTCTACTACCGCTACTTCTTCAGCTGAAGATGACGGTACTTTTGCATATATGTATAATTTGGAATCTTAATTCTAGATTGATATGATAGTTTTCGGACTCAATAATTATTTCACAGGTTCTTTTCTTTGTGAAATCTAGTGATAGAGGGAATATATATTCCTTTACCAGTGGGATTTGATAGATTTTTTATGGGAATTCTTAGTCGGAAAATGCCTTTCTTGCTTTATTTTGCAAGTCCATGAGAAAATTAGAAATTCAAGCAAAGTGGAGTTTGCAAAACTAAAGGTGGAGATGCGATAAAGAGACAATAGTTCTGCTAGATTCTTTCAAATGTAAAACTGAATTAAGACTGTTCATTGGTTTGTCTTCCTGATTTGGATTCGGGCACATTAGTGATGTGGTAATCCTTTTGGAGCTCTGTGAGTGCACTTGGGCATTGAAGTTCCATCATGTCATGTGTTTACTCTATGTCAGGATGATTTCCTATCTCACAGTGGTTTGTGTTCCTATTTAATTGGTGTTTGTCATTCAAATGCTCTTATTATGGTTTTCAGATGTATTTTGTGCTGTTCCTTGGTGTGAATGAATCACCCAACCCCTCAAAAAGGACAATAAAAGAGAAACCAGAAAATATTTTTGTGTCATGATAGTTTACTTTCAATCTAAGCAAGGACTGAGCCAGGATTTCATTATAAAGGGGGCAAAACATGAAATCACCACCTAATATATAAAATTTATGAGGTAAAGCAAGAAAAAAATATATTAAAATTTAAGACTAAACTACTGCATAAAAAGTAAAGACAGTATGATTAAGTTGCTACATAAAACATAAAAACATTATCAGTCATATATCAAAGCAGAATACAAAGTTCTTTGAAATTCCCAAAATTGTCTATAATTGATTCTATGCTAAATTTTTTAGAAATTTCCTTTCCATATATACAATCAAAGACTCCATAACGAAATCCTCATTCATTTTGTTATGAAGTCTAATTGAAATTATCATCCATGAGAAATTTGATTACTTGAGAAAAAAGAACACATTTTTTTTGGGTTAAGATCTTTTTATCATTTGCATCTAATCTTGTCTTATGAGTTATAGGCCACTAATTTGTTGAAAAAAAGTTGGGGGCAATGTATTAAATTCAAGGAAGGCATTATCTTTAGTTAATAGGTATGTGGGTTAGAGAATTTTACATACATTTTTTTTTTCAGACAGTCCAAATATAACACATTTGTTTTTCCGAATTAAGAAGGTCAGTGGGCTGCCAATGTACTGTAAAGAAATGGAACTAGGACCACTATATAAATTTTCAAAAAAAAGGGTCAATGTATTAAATTGAATAGAGAAATGATAATTTAATGCTATAACGTATATCCCCCGGGGGGGGGGGGGGGGTCTTCTGTGTAGCTCTGCCCTTGAATCTAAGTTTGACGTATGTGCATAAAACAGTTAATTGTCTATTCAGTAACAAGTGTTTTTGGTTAACATGTCATAGAATCAGCATTTGGCGACGGATATCGTCTTCCTCCACCAGAGATCAGAGATATTGTTGATGCTCCACCCCTTCCGGCAATATCATTCTCTCCACGGAGGGATAAAATTCTGTTTCTTAAGCGGAGATCCTTACCTCCTTTGTCAGAATTAGCTAGACCAGAGGAAAAGCTTGCTGGTATTCGGATTGATGGAAAATGTAATACCCGGAGTCGGATGTGAGTAATGAGGTTTTTATTATTATTATTTTCAATTGTGTTCGCTGCTTACCATGTTCTATTTATTACTTGGAATCTCTCAACATCTGGGCAATGGTACCATAAGTTATGTAGGTGTTAAGTTTTCTTAAATATAAGCTTCCACAATATTTATTTCCAGGTCGTTCTACACTGGGATTGGGATCCACCAGTTAATGCATGATGGTACACTAGGCCCAGAGATAGAAATATATGGCCTGCCAGATGGTGCTAAAATCAATTTTGTTACCTGGTAACTCCTTAATATTCAGCCTCAGATGTAGTATTTTACTTCTTTTAATATCATTTTGACCTTTCAGTCATATATTGTTAGATATAAGTATATAACATTGACCCCTTGCCCTTGTTTTGTCAAAGTTAATATACCTCTTGTCTAGTAGCTATTTGCTATTGCAAAACTAAGGTAATGAAAGAGAAACCAAATAGTCCTTTATGCTTAGAGAAAAGCACCTGTGTAAAAACTTGTTTAGTAGTTGCCTACTGGGCTACAGACATCTGCGGATAATTAATTTTAGTTCCTTAACAGCATTAAGTCATTCATTCTGGCCCCATGTATAACAATTCCCACCTATGTGGTTCACAGCAAAGATCACTTCCCACAAAGAATATTGGGTTATCTTTTTGTTACACACGCGCGGACCCTCTTCGGTTATCCACTATGAGTCTATGATTCTTTTGCCCTTGTATTCATTGGACCCTATTTTGTTTTCCATTAGTTTATTTTCAGAGAAACTCCACTATTTATGTTCTTCACTTTACTGATAATTGATACCATTTTTTTATGCTGATTATCCAACTATTTTGGTTTCAACAAGGTCAAATGATGGGCGACATTTGTCCTTCAGCATTCGAGTTGATGAGGTAATGATCTTCTGGCTGTAATTCGAGTACTGATGCATCAGTAGAACATTTGTTATTTCAAAATTTTGCATCTCAGAAGATTTATGAACATGTGAACTTGTTGACATTTTGGGGGTTTTATGTGCCACCAGATTTTTGCTTCTTTGATATGCTTAATTTGGATGCAGTCCCATTGTTGTAATGTGATCACTTATGACTTCTTGGTTTCATGTGAGAACTTCTCTGTTTGCCAACACTTATATCATCTCTGGGACAGGAGGATGACAGTGGCAATAAGCTTCGAGTATGGGTTGCTGATGTGGAAACAGGAAAAGCTAGACCTTTATTTCACTCACCTGATATTTATTTGAATGGAGTTTTTGACAAGTACGTTCTAGTTTCCATCTCAATTTTTTAGTGAGAAATAATTCAAAACAATCCTTAATTTCCTTACTAACACCTTTCTTTCCAGTTTTGTTTGGGTTGACAACTCAACTTTATTAGTTTGCACCATCCCTGTATCACGTGGGGACCTACCAAAGAAACCTTTGGTTCCTTCTAGTCCTAAGATCCAATCTAACGAGCAGAAGAATATCATTCAAGCTAGAACCTATCAGGATCTGCTCAAAGATGAGCATGATGAAGATTTATTCGAGTACTATGCCACGAGCCAACTTGTTTTGGCATCTCTGGATGGCATGATGAAGGCAATTGGACCACCAGCTATATATACATCAATGGAACCCTCTCCAGATCAAAAATTCCTTTTGATTACATCAATTCACAGGCCATACTCTTTTATTGTACCCTGTGGAAGATTTCCCAAGAAGGTTGATGTGTGGACAGCCGATGGGAAGTTGGTGAGAGAACTTTGTGATTTGCCCCTTGCTGAAGACATTCCCATTACATTCAATAGTGTGCGAAAAGGAATGCGCTCAATCAATTGGAGGGCAGATAAGCCTTCAATGCTTTACTGGTATGCATCTGACAGTTTTCTTATTCCAATATGTTTGTTTGTTATGAATCAAAAAACAACTTCTGTGGGTGCAACTTTCAATTAATGGTTTTTTTGAAAGATTTAAGATTTAACGTATTGTTTTGACATGTGATCTCTCTCTCTCTCTCTCTCTCTCTCTCTCTCATATGCATGATCCTGTTCCTCAAAAGATAGTTTTAAAAGGCAGTTCATGTAGTGTAAGAATTCATTTAGAATATTTGTGGGTTGTGGGAGTCAGGCGACTGCATGGCAGATGATGATAAAGAAAGGAAGTAGGAATATCAGGAATGGGGGTAAATAGTAGAGTCTTCTACAAAGAAGTATCTCTGATTTGTCTTGTTATACTTTTCCTTTTTCTCTTATATATACAAATGGTACCAAAAACTGGTCTATGCTTATACCATGTATAATTCACTGAATGTGGAAGAACTAGTTCTCATTATGTAAGCTAGCTTATTTAAGCAGAATGGCAGTTTACAGCTTCTTTATCCTGCATAGTTGGTGAAATATTAGTTGACAAGTTTTAATGTGTTGTTAATACTTGAAAGGGTGGAGACACAAGATGGTGGTGATGCAAAAGTTGAAGTCTCTCCACGTGATATAATTTATACACAACCAGCTGAGCTGATTGAAGGCGAACAGCCAACAATCCTACACAAACTTGATCTTCGCTATGGGTATGAATATGTGCTAATTGATCCATTTTAAGTCTTTAGTTTAGTGCTATTAATGACCAAGCAAATAATTTTTTTCCCTGTGCAACTTGGAAGAGTTTTGATCTTATTACACATTGCTTGTTATTGTTTTGGGATGCTTCTGATTTTTGTGGAACTTCTTTTTCTTTAAACACATGTCAGTAGGCAGTGGGCTTCACCGTGTCGAAAATCTTCATTGTTCTAAATTTCTGTGTTCTACTACATGCTCTATGAATGAATTCAAATATATTTTTGTGCCAGGCATAATTACTGGGTTTTCTGCAGTTATTTACTTATATGCCTATCTGCACCACTTTTGGAGAATAGTGTTTAACTTATATCTAGTATTCTAGTTTACAAATTTAATTATAAGACCTTCATATGTGATAAGAAGGTAACATAATTCATTAGATCAACTAGAAGCAATAACAAAAATAATTTGAAGGATTTTCGAAGAATATCAGCTGATGGTCGAATAGAAAAGTATATATAATCAAATTTAGCATGACTTTATAGGACTGAGAAAGAAAATAACAGGATGTCCCATGGGCTGGAGAACTGTTCCTTTTCAGGGTGGATATTTAGCAGGTGTGCCTGCATCTCTTCAGGACATGCTAATTATTTAGAACAGTGTGTTATTACGCTAGAAGTGCTTCGTTGATGCATAAGATTAAGACTTGGAATTTCAAATTATAACAATATATATTTATTACATCCAAACATTTTTAGCCCTATTTTAGAAATTGCCAAATTTGTCACTGAAGCATCAGCATAACACCATGTGATGATTACCATTAGATGTTAAAGTTGGTCACTTGCTTTTCTGAAATACTAAAATCCAGGTGTGAAATTTGTTATTGCAAAGGAAGATATCATCTTATGGTCTACCATCGTTCTACTTTTGTGAACCTGTCTAATGTCTTAACCAAGCATATATATTTTCCTATCCATGACTAAAAAACAGAATTAAAATGATGAGACCTTGGCTTCTCTGCAGAGGGATATCATGGTGTGATGATTCACTTGCTCTAGTTTATGAATCTTGGTACAAAACACGACGAGTAAGAACCTGGGTCTTCTCTCCAGGATCTGAAGATGTGAGTCCACGCATACTATTTGATAGGTCATCAGAAGATGTGTACTCTGATCCCGGCTCGCCAATGTTGCGAAGAACTCCTGCTGGGACTTATGTGATCGCAACGGTAAAGAAAGAAAATGATGAAGGCAAGTATATTTTACTTAATGGAAGTGGTGCTACACCAGAAGGGAACATCCCGTTTCTGGATTTGTTTGACATGTGAGTGTTTGGGTAGGACCTGGTCATTTGTTTCTTTATTTACTATTATTGGAATCACCATGGTCTGACACGAATTTCTTCAGAAACACAGGCAGCAAAGAGCGAATATGGGAGAGCAACAAGGAGAAGTATTATGAGACTGTTGTTGCTTTAATGTCTGATCAGAATGATGGGGCGTTAGATATTAATCAGTTAAACATACTGACTTCCAAAGAATCTAAAACTGAAAACACCCAATATTTCATACAAAAGTGGCCAGATAAGAAAGCATATCAAATTACCAATTTTCCTCATCCATATCCTCAGCTGGCATCATTGCAGAAGGAGATGATTAGATACCAGCGAAAGGATGGAGTTCAACTTACTGCCACCCTGTACCTTCCTCCAGGCTATGAACCGTCGAGGGATGGCCCTCTCCCTTGTCTTGTATGGTCGTACCCTGGAGAATTTAAGAGCAAAGATGCTGCTGGACAAGTTCGTGGTTCTCCTAATGAGTTTGCAGGCATAGGTTCGACATCGGCCTTGCTTTGGCTGGCTAGGAGGCATGAGACTCTACTTAAATTATCTTTCCTACTAGTACCTCTTCATTGCCTGGCATAGTGTCATTTAAAATGGACAAATTTATAGTAGCTCTCAGTCTTTGCAGGTTTGCTATTTTATCCGGACCAACAATTCCCATCATTGGTGAGGGTGATGAAGAGGCAAATGACAGGTAATTTGATGTCCATATTGTTCATGACGTCAATTCTCTATTTCAATGACTTTGAAAGAAAATGTTCTTGCCATGCTAAAACTATGTCAAGTGTACCACATTAATTCCCTATTATAAGGAAAAACATATAATGGACAAAACTGGTTTTTTATTACTGTATGACAAGCATTTGTAAAATTGGGTATGAAAGCATTTGATGACTATGGTCTATGGGTTTTGCTTGAATGCTAGTTGGGTTAAATGGATAAGTACCTTTGGTATATTTTGTGGTGTGACAACATTGAAAGGCAATTGTGTAAAACAACTACAAGACCAGCTCTGGTCTTCTGAACAAGATATTGGGCCATTAAAATCAACTTGTCCAAAAGATTTAATGCACTTGGTAAAATTGATTAGTAATAAGACTATAAAGGATAAGGCTATAAATGGGCACCTACTGAGAAGGAAAGAGTAGCACTTATTGAGGAAAAATTGAGAGGAAATTGATTTAGACGGTTTGGACATGGCAGTGAAGACCAATAACCGCAATAGACTCTAGTGAGTAAAAGTGACTTGATGCACGGTATGGTAGTGCTATCTATAGGGGTAAACTAATATGGACGAAGATAGTCAATAACTTTGTAATTTAAGGCAAAAGGGAAACACGGGAGTTTCACTGAGAGAATATCCCATTTTTAGCCACAAATTATGAGGGGACTCATCCATTTGTTCACCAGGTATGTGGAGCAACTTGTTGCAAGTGCAGAGGCTGCTGTGGAGGAAGTTATCCGCCGTGGGGTAAGCTTTTCCATTCTGTCCAATGTAATTGGTCTTAACAATGACTGATCTGGTGCTACATGTTTAAGGTGGCTCATCCAAGCAAAATTGCTGTTGGCGGTCATTCATATGGGGCATTCATGACTGCAAACCTCCTGGCTCATGCTCCACATCTTTTCTGTTGTGGAGTTGCTCGTTCTGGAGCTTACAATAGAACACTCACACCTTTTGGCTTTCAGGTAACTACTTCAAACGTAGCTAAAATGTCCCCTCCTCCTTGGTCCTCAGTTTGAAATATTGATTTGGGTTGGTTAGGTTCTAACAACAATTTCCTTTTATGATTATAGGTAGGGTTCAGGTTTGTTTGGTTTCCATATGCTTTATTATCCATTATGAAGTAACTTAAGGTCATTCTTGCAGAACGAGGACAGAACGCTTTGGGAGGCCACTTCTATCTACGTTGAGATGAGTCCTTTCATGTCAGCTAATAAAATTAAGAAGCCCATCTTGATTATCCACGGGGAAGAAGACAATAATCCAGGAACTTTGACAATGCAGGTAAAAATGAGGATCCTTTTGCCCTAATTTTCTGCAAAATATGACACCCATTTTTTATGACGAGTCTCCTTCAATGGAAATATGGTTTACTCTCTCACTACTTTTGTCCTCTAGCCTCAAGTTGTTTAATGCTCTAGCTACTGTCTTCTTCACAGTTATCAGTGCTTTTCTTACTACATTGCTAACTTGCTCCTTATATTCATCTGCAAATAATGTAGTCGGATCGTTTCTTTAATGCGCTGAAAGGTCATGGTGCACTATGTCGCCTAGTAATCCTTCCCTTTGAGAGCCATGGTTATGCAGCACGAGAGAGTATAATGCATGTCCTGTGGGAGACAGACAGGTGGCTGCAGAAATATTGTGCCTCAAATACTTCTGAGGTAAAGACAGATCTTGATTCATCTGAAGACAACGAAAGCAAAGGAACAACAAATGAAGAGAGCAAAGCTGTTGGTGCTGCTGGAGGAGGTGTCTCAGAGCTGGCAGATCTCGAGTTTGACAGAGTTTACCCAAACCAAAGGTCACTGTTATGGTAGTTTCTTTGTCTGTTATACTAATATCCAATCGAAAAGTTGAAGAGTAGAATACCTTATTTGTTTGCTCTTTTTGTTCCTTGGATCTTCATTCATGCTGAAGATTCAGTGCTAGATACTTCAATTGTGTTTCCAGTTCAATTTTGTGGCTTGTATCGGCTGCGACTCCGTCAAATTTCTGGTTCAAGTGTTTAGGTAGTTGAAGGGTCTCCTTAATTGCCACCAAGTTATTCTATTTTAACTTGAGACTTCTTGTTCCATTCATATTCTTTTATATGGCTCTCTCTGCCCCCACTTCTAAATTCCTAGATTTCTATGCCTGACTTTTTGAACCTTCCCAGCTTGATTGTGCTTGTAGGTCAAAGGTGCTGCATCTATCAAGATTTTAATTTTTTTTTTTGGTTTTTTTTTTTTTGGGTTATAGGCAATCTTAACATGGATTCTTAACATTTGCATAATAGATGTGCATTATAAACTATTGCATAATAGTTACGCATTTTATCTGTCCTTCAAATTTTTTCTGATCGGAACACTTTTATGATTTTTATCTTGTACAGATTGAGTCACGGACAACGAACCACCAAGAAGCTGGAGCTTGGGAATAGAAGAACATACATGGTTGCCTTGTGAAGAAAGCTCGCTGCATTAATCAAGCAATGTTGATGATTGTCGAGGTGGTGTATAATTCATGCAATTAGGTGTTTGTAACGGTTGTGTGCTAAAAGACTACCACATGGTCAGTCTGCGGCCAAGGGCAAGTAGCATTTGTCTGCCGAGGATTCGGTACACGGATCATTCATCAGCAAATAATGCAATGCTTTCGTCTATGGGACAAGGAGCCTAGGATAGGATTTCAAAACCCTAAATTTGGCCTCTCTAGGTGCGAACTAAGAATAATTTATATATTCTGAACACTACCATTTCGTCTTCTTATTTGGGTGCAGGCGAAGAATAATTTATACCTTCTGAACACTCCTATTTCATCTTTCAAGTACAAAAATGACATTGTACTGTCTTGCAAATTATTTATGATCTTTTAAACATATAAACACCTGATAATTCATTTACACTAGAACTATGATATTATGAGGAATAAATTTCTCATAACTTGATTTCAAGAGATTATCAAAATTCAAATACAAGATATTTAAGTTAACAACTCGTTCTTATTATTACTTAAGGAGTTAAGACTTGATTTTCACTAAAAAAGGTCACATTCAATTTTTTTAGCAAAACACTAGCAGCTGTGTACCTCAGGCCATACAGGTATAAATCAACAAGGAACCAAAACCAAAAACCTTGAAGGTTCTCTGGGGGTGGTGAATGAGATCCATAGTAAACAATACAAGAGATTATTTTCGTCAAAATCCCAAATCAAAGTATGCTCATGTCTAGATTCAAAAGCCAATTGACAGAAACACAACAAATAAAAGTGTTGAAGGCTTCATAATTGAAGCTAAGGAATATTTATTCTTCAGCAACTACGCTGATCTCACCTTTCTCCAACAAGTCATAGAATGTCCTAACTCTCCTCTGCTCATTCCAGTGATGCATCTTCCATAAGCTGCCTGCAGCCAAGCCCAGTGTAATTCCAATAAGTATCTCCTTCACCACGCTTGGTCCTTTCAAGGTAGCATGAGCAACTCTATGTCCAGCCATTTTGCTTTTCTTTCTCAGAAGCTTATAAACCCTGCACATGACAAGAACCCATCTCTTTAAATAACAAAGCACCAATGGTAAAGTCTGAGAAATGTCAATCCACATGACTTTGTTTAACATGCAATCCAGTAAAAGAGAAAATAAGTGATAAATTCATCTTAAAATAACTAAATACGACCCACTGATACTTTGATCAAGATTACGTAGCTATATACATATTGAATATCGATATACTCACAAATATGTATCAAATACCTTCTGCACGTATCACTAATTAACCAATATCTACCATTATTAGACATTAGTCAGATACACATCGAATACGCATATCTTCACAATGGATACATTCACCTTATACATAATGAGGAAGTTTGTGTAGAAATCATAAATCATAAAAAAAAAGATTCATATTTCCAAGATGTCCATTTGAACGTACATCACATATGTCACAAGATTTTTCAATTCTTTGCAATTTGCTTGAGCTGACTAATGAGTTTCTGTGGCTTACATCAAAACCAATGAAATCTATTGCAATTAAATGCTAAGTAAAAGTTGACGACTCTCAAAGGATAACACATGTTCATGTTTAGAATTACATAAAACATTGAATTCAAAATACCATTAAGCAGTCTTTACACCAACAACATAAATTCTGTTAGTTTGGTTATACAAATATATATCGTAATTGTATCTGTATCCTACTTTTTAAGATTTTCCCGTATCGTGAGGTATCTATATTGTTCCCTATATGTTCATGCTTCCTAGAATATGACATTCAAATAGCTTCATTTTAATGGCACAGGAAATGAAAAGTTGTTTTGCAATAGGTACAAGGCAAAAGATTAACCTTAATCCAAGTCTATACAAACATAGCAACAAGATCAACAGCAGATATTTGCCCAGACCTACTTTTAGTAAGCACCTCCTTAATTGAACTTCTCTTCTTTCTATGATAATCATCATAACAAACCCTCTTCAGTTACACTATTCCTTCTTGACATGACACCATCATAGTTGACCTCACACTTCAAATTCTTTAGTTCCCTCACCCCTTTATTCTTTCTTTCAGATTTCCATTCCCTTCCCTCCTTTTTTTTTTTTTTTTTGGGTTTCCTTTTGCTATAGAATAGAGACAAATCAATCTTCTCCAAGAATTTCTTCAAAATAGACCACTTCTCATCATTTGATAGGAGATACCTATCTTTTTCTGTGCTGTCCTCATCACCCTCTCTCCACAATTCTGGGATCAAACTGAGACTTCCTTGGTGAATACAGTCAATATCACCAGTAGGTTGAGCTCTAGGATCCCTAAGAACTAAACTATTTGTGGCACCATCGCTTCCAATACACATCAATGAGTTACATAAACCTTCTTTCAGTTTCCCCAACAAGCCAGAACCAGAAAGTTTACCACACCCCAGAAAGACAGTCACAAACAGACAAGGAGAACCCCACTTGACCATTTAAGGTCACTGTACTTACTCCACTCCCCTCAACAATGGGTCAAATTTGACAAATATGCTCACTCTACCTACTAAACCCTAGCCCCAACTCCAAAAAAATGATATATCTCAAGAATATTGTGGAGGTTTTTGGATCAGTTTCAATTTAAAAGGTGAATATGGATGGATAAAAGGATAGAAGTATTCTTATAAGCATTAATTCACACTAGGATAAAAATAGTAGAGTAGTGAGACTTTTGGGCATAGAGTGGGGAATGACCATTAAAGTATTTAACGTTACCTCTTGGAAGGAAGAGAATTTTGGGATTCGATTGTGGAAAATGTAGGGAAAAGATTCAATGGATGGAAGAGAGCTTACATTTCGAAAAGGATAGTATTTCCACATACTTTACATCATTGTTTCAGATGCCAGGAAAAATAGTTAGAATAATTAAAAAATGATGAAAGACTTTTTATGGGAAGGAAGTAGAGAGAGAAAGAAGGATCATTTGATAAATTGAGAGGCCGTACCTAGATTTAGGGACAAATGGGTTTTCTATTGGTAATTTAAAGATTAGAAATATTGCGTCGATGGGTAAGTGGCTTTGGAGATTTCGTTTGGAACAAAATTCACTATGTCAATTAATTATCAAGAGCAAATATAGTTTACTAGCTAACGGATGAGACTCCAATAAGGTTGAAAGGGTAAGTTTAAATATCCATGGAAGTTTCCATCTTAGGTATTGGTAGGATTTTCCTAAGACTCAAGTTTTGTAATGGGTAATGGAGAGAGAGTTGTTTTTGAGAGGATGTTTGGGTGGGAGTTTCATTTTTTTCATGTTTGTTTTCACATATATATAATTTATCTTGTTTTAGGCCCAGTGCATGTATGAAGCCAGTTATGACTTACATGCTCTATCTTCTAGAAAGGAGGTGCTTCACACCTACGTGGAGGAACTAATTTGGAAGGCGTCTAGGATTAGAATCAGGATTTTAGGACCGGACAGACTGCAGCCTAGGGATCACTTGTCAAAACACAAAGGGAATGCATCCCTTGCTCCATGCCTCTAGCAACATGCACAATATTGGGCTGAATGTTGATAAACATAACAGAAAATTCAACGCTAAAAGCAAATCTTCATATAAATTGACAAACTAAGGTGTATGGAAAACCACATAAGGTGAATGCAACCACGTAAACAAATCATTCAACTTGAAATTGACATATGTTAATTTAAAATATGAGAGACATCAAGCCAAGGTCAAATGCATACTATGCTAGGCAAAAACTACAAGCCTCACAATTCATGGTGTTTGCTCTTGGAATTCATGTGAAAGACAACACCAGTTAAAACAAAACAGAAGAAGCATAACAGTTATTGCACAGGTGGAAAAATTCTCGAGTAGGGCAAAATAACAGCCTCCTGGACATATATCTTGGGGTTATTTGGATCAGGAACCCAACGAATCTCGCTCATGTTTGGTGTCTCGACAAATACCATGGTGAATTCTCCTACTTTTTCCGCCTTCCCTCGCTTGCCTGCCCTCAAAACAAGATTGTTGCGGTTGTAAGAGAATATGCCATTTGTGACGCCCCAAAAACCGGGATCCTTTGTTACCCAGTTGATCACTTATCAACCCGCGGAATATGTGACACCCCAAAAACCGGGGTCCTTAATTTAACAAAATTCGAAAAAAATCTCTTTTGTACAAGAAACTCTACCCAAAACACAACCTGTGCACTATACAATCACATAACCCATCCGAGATCTAATATACAACATTGACCACACCGGATCTATTTATCCATATTGTTATGACAACATTTAATCACATGACCCATCTCAGGTCCAATATACATACTCTCACATCATGAATTTGTGCATTAAACATAGTTAATACAAATTCAAAATTATAATTCTTTTACATACATTATATGCCCAAAATTAACTTAGCAAAAAAAGACTAAAAGCCACACGTCGGCCTCTCTTCAACCTTGAGACTCCAAATGAGAGCCGTCCATTGGTGTATATCCTGTATCTCAAATGTTTTCCCTTATAGGGTGAGTTACGCTCAATAGAGTATCTCCTACAGAGGCTACTCCCCAACCTAGATGCATATGAAATGTGAACATACAACAATCATTATCCATTTCAAACAAGAACATGTAATTCAAGATTGGAATTCTATCATGTCATGATATGAGATGATACTCACTCATGCAACTTCACCTTGAGTCCTCACCGACTCCCACAACACAATGCACATGTGTAATGAATCCGTCAATTGACAAAAAATACATCCAATGATTGTTTGAAATAAAAGTGATATATTTATAAAATCAAATCATTGTGGATGTTACCCATTGAATGAGTATTTTTATAAAACAAAATCTTGTGTCTTTGTTGGGCAATGGATTTTGGTATCACAACCGCCGATTCTGTACACCATCACACTTTTCTAAAATTTCACCTCAGGAGAGTGTGTGAACCAAGTAGCTGGGTTTTGCACCCGAGGGAGAATCTAGCCCTTCTTGCTATACCCGACACAAGTTTTTCATGCATATAACAGTGCGACTCAGTCGAATCTTCAATCCAACTTTCCCGAGCCCACCCATCAAGCACCAAGTATGGTGTTTGATTAAACCATGCACCGACACTCATGCATAAAGTCCATGAATGTGATGTCATTATCATACTCAAGATGCAATGAATGTCAAATGAGCAATTTAACCGTATATCAATATACCAAAGCCAATTATATCATATGCATATAATTACCTTTATCCAACACAATGACAATATATCAATATTTTATACTTAACAACCAAACATAAACATGTTATTACATAATCTATGTCAATATAACACACTTTATTTCACATAGGCATTTTATCAAACACCTTCAAGGCATCAAATCATGTAATCACATAAAATGCCCAAATTTATCACCTAACTCAAAAAAAATCAGATTCAATGATTTTCACATACTCAATTATCAAAACTTCCAAAAAATCACAAATTAGCAATTTCTAACTACCAATTCACACTAGAATTGAGCCTACTCATTTTCATTAAACCAACTATAATAGGCAAGTGTTAAAAACACTCAAAACAGCCCACCCATTTTTTATGGACACCATAGGATGGAAATAAACCAAAGTAGAAGGGAACCCTACCTCTTGAAGCGTAAAACACCTGTAGGAAGCTTCAAAAACACGATTCAAGCCCAAAGCTTTGATTTCTCCAAAATTTCGTATTTGAATCTTCAGTGAAATCAGCTCTTTTTGGTACGTAGGCGTAGCCCTCGTCAAGGAGATCGACTTTAACTCTTGGTCCGAAAGATTCCGACTGACGGAACTTCGTGAATCGAAGGGAGAAACTTTGAAACCTCACTTTTTTCTTTTTTTTCTCTCCAACGTTCAGACCAGCAAACCCACTGGTTTTAGCAAAAATATCTCTCCAAAAAATCAGATTAGTTGATATTTATAATCTCAAAATGTGCGGTCCACGTCGCACCACATATTTCTTACTTTCGGGTCCATTTTTCGTCCCAAAATGATCCATTTCATTCCAATTTAAGTTCAAATTAATTTTATTTAAACTTTTATTTAATTATAAAAAAAATTTATAAATTTTATTTTTGGAGACCTTTAAAAGGTCATTTGTCACTCAATTGTCTCGTAAAACGTGCAAAATTCAACTATTTCAGAATTCGACAAAAATTGACAAGACAACTCGATTTCGCAATACGAAACCAACAGTGATGTCCGTTGCGTCATCCAAGCTCTAGAAAAATATGAATTTTAAACCCGCATTATAGTGATAAATTACCATTTTGCCCTTTTTCCGAAAAAGTTT